ATTCAACTGAGAGAGGCAAAAAATCCCAGTCCCTACCTTTCCTATCCTCCATCCCTCAAACACACACCCACACACTCTCAACAGGAACCCACTGTAGACCTACTGGTGACAGAGAATCACGCTTTCCCTGGGTCACGCCTAACACGCTTCAGCAGGCAGCTGAGGAAGACAGGAGCATGGACATGCAGCAATACAGCAAAGGGGAAACGGAGGCACCCTCTTAACATCGGGCCCAAGGTGGCCAGCTCACACACCCACACCATGGGGCTAGTCTTTCTTTTCCTCCTAACTGGAAACTGAAATCTGTGATGGCAAAAAAAAAAATAAATAAATAAAAGTAGCACAATTTAGAGAAATTGTCCATGTGAGCACATGCACTATTTGCCATGTGCTATCTGTTTTTTTGATAAAAGAGCCGGGTGAAAGGGGATAGAGAGAGGGTGAGGCTGTGCACAGAGAAGCATGGATGTCGGAAGAGTTGTTCTGGGAGAGATTCGCCTACACCAAGAGCATTGTTTTCTACCCCCAAGAAGTGCTGATGTGAACACCAAGTTTTAATGAGTAGGAGGCAGGAACTGGACCCCCAACCATATAGGGATAGGACTTTTTCATATTGTCTATGTTGACAGCAAAAAAGAAAAAAAAAACTTTCAAAAATAAAATAAAATAAAATAAAACACCCTGAGCCCATGGATGGGGGTCAGGGATGGGGAGGAAAGAACTTTTTGAGAAGCCCCCGTGATGACCATGACCATGGAAATGGGAGGCCCGGGCTTTGATGGCGGGGAGAGGGTCTAGAATACGAAGGGACACTTTTTCTAAAGACAAAACATAAACCCTTTACAAAACAGACACGAACCACAAATTAACGTTCGTCCAACATCTTCAAGAGTTAGGACGTTGTCTACAGCTGACATCAACAACAACACAGAATACCCACCGTCGGAAAAGACAACAGGAGGTGAGGTGGGGCCGCAGACACCTTCGATCCTGGCTGTCGCCGTCACCTCCCAGAGCTGAAACAGTCCTCCAGGAACTGCCTGTCTCCGCCTTCCCCTCCCCTTCAGCGTGTTGCCCCTGCCGTGCCAAACTTCTCCTGCTTTGGACTGAAGATGTCATCAGCGTGGGTGGTGCCTTCAATGTGTTACTGTTTCATGACAGTCTTGTTTCCAAGTGTAACCTGTGTTCTTTTAGCCTCCTTCCTCCTGTTTTTTTCTGCAGTAGTAGATGTTTCCATTCTTCTTTGTAGGTGAGCCCACACTATTACACCTTTGAAGGGGGCTGCTGCAATGTCGGGGGACCTAAGGACACACCCCTTATTCCCACCATCCTTCCAAATGACCTCCCTGGGTATTTCAACCCATCCCCCAACCCCACCCCTAGCCAGAATTTTCTGAGGGTTTTCTCAGATCGGTTCTCATAGCTAACCAAGACCATTCTCCTACAAGTTCTTTTTAGTCCAGTGGAAGCCCAGAGCAGGCCATGGAAGGGGAAGAGATTTTCATTTAGCGAGAGGTTTGGGACTCACCCCAAAGGTCCTCACTAATTAATGACTAGGTACTTCCATGAGACCCACAGGCCTCTGGGGTCAGAAGCTGGGCAAACAACACTCTGAGCGTTCCCTGGGATCCTGAGCTGCGATATTCTGTCTCACCTGTCTGTCTACCCTGGCATCATAGAATCAGCCAAACCAGATAATTCTCCTCCTCACTCCCAATAGATATCAGGACACCAACGATGCATTTCTTCTCTCTGGGCCTTAGTCTCCTGTCTCGAACATGTGGAATTGAGGCCAAGTGGAGCTTTTCCAGCTTTCTGAAACAGCAAAAACTCTGCCTATTTTTACAAATGAAACCTTGCGAAGAACCTGCCGTATCAGATCACCATGTGTAAAGAGGCTTGGTGCTGTTCAGAGGAAGCAGGGATCAGAGGTTTAGTGCTCACCTTCCCGGCCTCCTTGCTGGAACCCTGACCCCTGAAATACTGCTGAGTGTGGTCGGTATTTCCTTGGCATTGGTTCCTGCATGCCTGTGGCACACTTGGCATATCTGTGTGTCACCATGACAATATCTGTGTCTAAACTGACTCATTCTTAATACATTTTATTTTTAAAAGGAAAATTTCCTGCCTTCATCACAAATAGAAAACCAGTATCAATCTCCATAAATAGAAAGTAAGCATAAAAATAAGTCCCAAGGCAACAAAACAGCAATGATTAAATTCTAGCTAGATACAGCTGCTTGGGGGAGGGTCTGATCCTAAAGCCTGGTTCATTCTCTCTCTCTCTGGGAGATTAGCAGATGTTAGAGAGTCGTTGAAGGCACCAGCACATCCCATGGAGGCCTCTTGCTTGAACTCATCAGAAAGACTGAAATGTACATTAAAAGGGACCACAGCTCTGATCCATGTGCTACCCACTGGAGTTTTATGTCAACTGGTGGCACACAGCCCACACTTGAGCAAAGACAGAGTTGACTTATTGGAGGGGTTCCCTGTAGCTCAGAGTTCTGTCATCTTTGCTGTTTGCCCTCAACCTATTTCATCTCATTCTAACCCCAGCTGCCATTCAGGGTCTTTCTTAGTCTCTGAATCAAGGATATTGCATTTCTTCTTCATGCCCCTTCTTTGATGAGCCAACAGCATCCAGCGAACTTGGCTCCTCGGGGTCTGCATTTGTGATTTTGCCAGCAAAGGTGCCATCTGATGAAGGAGACGTAGCAGTGACGAAAGCCCAGCAGGACGGGTGCTTGCCAAGCAGTGCTGTCCAAGACAGACACCCCTCGGAGCTTTCTTAGTTTCATTACCTTCCAGTAGGCTTTGAGAGATGCGCTGGATGGGGAAGGTCTGTGTATCCGTTGGCTTCTGCTGGGGGCATGTGCACAGACCTCAGGATGCTGAAAGACAACATGACCCATGGAACTGAATAGGAGTCCCATGTTCCAAGACAGGATCCCATAGCCAGGATGGGGGGAATTGGAAAAGCCAGAACACAGCCGAGAGAAGGTCCTCTCCTTGTCCCATGCCCTAGAGGCCTCTACTTCTTGCCTTTAGTTGTCTCCCAGATTCCAGCCCACTGGGGCCAGAGTCTGACATCCTCTTACCCACCCTAAGACACCCAGCCTACGTCCACCTTGGGCTCTGCCTGGCATCCCCATCTAACTCCCCCACCCCCAGTTTATTTGTGTAAATGGAGCATATTTTCTGTGCAAATATTTTAGTAATCGTATGTTCTGCAAGTAAACCTGTGTTAATACTGTCACAACTGCAGAGTTTATGATACCAATAATACTTCCTACAACAAAGAAAAAACATTTGTTTGTTTTCTAAGAATGTTTATTTGTAAACATATGTATTCACTATATTAATATGAATTTCTTACCTGGCAATAAAACTGATTATATGTGATGCTCTAGGGGTTGCTCTGTGTCTTTCTAGGGCCCAACATCCTACCAGGAAATGCCAACACTAACATAGGGTGATAAACCTTTAATAATCAGAATCTATGGGAAATCCTTGCAGGTCAAGGGAATTTCTAGTCTATATATAAGATATATATAAAATATATTTTTTTCTGGGAGACTTTCTATGTGAAACCTATTGAATAAGTTTGTGTCTTTGTTCCCTTCCTTGCCTTAAAAAAATATATCATTGCTAGGTTTCCTCAGCATAACTGACTTTATTCTTGATGATCAAGAATCGTTGAAAGGGTGGGAGATTGGGTTCTTCCCCTAATTATTAAATTCTATTCCCTATTAGCATTGAGCTTCAAATTTGCAGGCAGACACTTGTTTGGGTGAGGTTTCCCCCCAGAAAGCGACTCTGAGTCAAGGATTTGAGTGCAAGTGCTTTTTATCTGAGATGTGAAGGGAACACTGGGAGGAGGAGGTGGTGGGGGGATGATAAGGACAAGAACGCAGCCAATAAAGGGTATCTTCTCTTGCCAACTACTACTCTGGGATGTTGGAAACCTTTGGGAAAGGGTGTCAAGTGTACATACGCAGAACTATTCCACCGAAGTGTGATGGAGCTTGGGTGGTTATGTGCCACACTCTCTAGACATTTGCAAATTGTTGTCAGGGACTATTATTGTTCACTGTCCTGTGCAAGACCAGAAGAAACTCCACGGTGTCAGAGAAGCCCAAAGCATGGAGGTGCATCTATCAGCAAGTGCAAATCAGCCTTCGCACTGAAGTCCTAAAGACACTGTGATGGGGATGGGAACTTGCAGAGGTCTGAGGTTTCCTAGAGGTCTGAGGTCTTTCTATTTTGTGGTTGCTTGGAGATACTTTCAATGTCAACCAAAGGGGAAGTGAACCACAGTGTGCAGCCTGAGCCAGCGTCATTGCTCTGGGACTTAGAGACCCTCCACTGGCTACAGGGTCACTTGGTATCACCCAGAGAAGATCCCATGAACTCTCTTGAGGGTACAGTTCTGGTTGTCAGAGATGTCTGAAAGGCACACAGGGTGGGGGTGTGTGCTCCTCCAGGACTAGGAGCTGACTGGGAGTGGGGCCACTGACCTATATACATCATAGCTCCATGGGTGCAGTTGAGGGATAGATAGCCATGCCTTTGCGGGGAGAGAAAAAACAATGCTCCCAGTGAAGACACCCAGTTAATCACAACTCACAAACAGCAACAATCACCGAAAATGCTTGCAGAGTCTAACACTGTGAAAGGCTTTGTATGCATTGCCACATCTGGCCCCCATGGCTGTGAAAGGTGGGTACAATCACACTTTGGAAATGCTCCTTAGGGATCTGTCTTACATTTGAGTAATTTGTACAAAGCAGTTCAACTAAGTCAGTAGTAGAACTGGGGCTTGAACTGGGGTTCACCCTTCAACTACTGCACCAGTAGTGCTCAGTCGGATGACCCTGTGGGGAAGGTTGGTAGCCATGCTGACTTCCAAGCTCCCCCTGTAGAGATTCAGATGAGGTAGACCTGAACCGGGCACAGGATCCAGTGTTGGTAACACACTCCCTATCATTGCAATGCAGAGGCTCCTGGACCCTACCCTGAGAAGCGTTGCATGAAGCCACGTTGCCTGATCGCCCTACATCTGCGGGCTCATCCTGAGGACCTTGAACTGCAGAACAAAACAGAACGAAGGTGTGTGCTTCCAGAGAAGGGGCCTTCACCCGCTGGCTTCACATCCAGTGTTGAAAGGCCATCTCCTTTAGCAAGCAGAAGATGAACTCCAGAAGACCTGGTTGGTGGTATTGATGTCAGCACTTTGTTGCCTTGTGCCTTCTGCCCTGCAGCTTGCCTTCTCTGGGGCTCACATCTCCCTCCCCAGGAGGAGGCGGCTGCAGTTGGTAGTCTTCAGCCTTACTCTCACTTGATTGAGAGGTCCCTAGCTCCTCACCAGGGCAGCTGATACGGTCAAGAGGACTGAGTCCCTTACACTTCCAAAGGCTTGTTCCTGAAAGGCTAGGATTTCACTGGGTAATTGAGTGGGCAGCTTCTATGTTTGGGCTACTTGTACTTGCTAGGTACTTGGCTTTGTCCTGAAGGATTTCTGAACTAGCAGCAGTGGACTAGTATGGAGGCACTTAACTTTTTTGTGCCATAGAATCTTTTTCTTTTCTTTCTTTCTTTCTTTCTTTCTTTCTTTCTTTCTTTCTTTCTTTCTTTCTTTCTTTCTTTCTTTCTTTCTTTTTTTTTTTTTTTTGACAGGCAGAGTGGACAGTGAGAGAGAGAGAGACAGAGAGAAAGGTCTTCCTTTACCATTGGTTCACCCTCCAATGGCCGCTGCAGCCAGCACACTGCAGTCAGTGCACCGCGCTGATCCAAAGCCAGGAGCCAGGTGCTTCTCCTGGTCTCCCATGTGGGTGCAAGACCCAACAACTTGGGCCATCCTCCACTGCCCTCCCAGGCAACAGCAGAGAGCTGGACTGGAGAGGGGCAACCGGGACAGAATCCGGCGCCCCAACCGGGACTAGAACCCAGTGTGCCAGTGCCTCAGGTGGAGGATTAGCCCATTGAGCCGCAGCACCGGCCACCATAGACATCTTTAGTAGTCTGTGAAGCCTAAGGATTCTCTCCTCAGAATACTGATTTTCAGTACATAAAACAAAATATACAGAATTACAAAAGGAACTCATCCTGAAATCTATGCGTAGTCTTCTCAGAATATACTATTCCATGAACTTATTGAAGACTCCTTGTATAAAGATTTCGAATTTTTGTATCAAAGTAAACTTAATTTTGATTTCTATTCCCCATGAACTTTTTGAAGTACCCCTGTAGTCATGAGCTATTTTTAAAGCCCACATTTGTGAACATGGTAATATATATGCTTTCAAACTAATGCATTACCTTACAAGATCTAATGACCATTTTCTAAGCGCTGGTGAGCACAGGCAATTTTTTGAGCCACCTGCTGCAGTTGCAATTTGATGTGAAAAAAATCTGTGATTCGACTGGTGACAAAGTCCCAGGCGTGTGCTAATATCACTGTGTTTTGTGGCCTACATTTATAATTGAGGAACATATTAAATTTCAATTAGAGTCTTGTAAAATAAAGATGTTATTTTTTTCTCACCTAAATTCAGAAATTTGCTGGGTTCTAACCATGGGTGCCCTTCAGGATCTGTGGATCCCAGGTGGCACAGGACCTGCTGTTGCTCGTCTCTCCTTGCCTCAACTTCTCACCTTTGAAAATGGGCAAAGAAGAATAGATCTATTATTGGCTGTTGTGAGGAGTGACCATAGATAAAAAGACATTAGCTCTGTGCTTGACACCAGTAAACGCTCATGTGTCAGCTTTTTGTTATCATAGTTACCATTTTTGATTGCCCATTTTTATCCTCCCCCTCTCACAGAAGGAACCAAGGCTCACAGGGTTGAGTTTGCACAAAGTAACACAGCAAATAAGGGGCGGAGCAGACTGAAACCTAGCTCTTTCCAATTCAGCCTCAAGCTGTTGACCGTACACCACGCTGTGTCATTTCTGAGAGCAGTCATATTAATGTCCTCACTGCTGCTTGGAATAAGGTCAGCATCCGAGTATATTGCAAGGGGTGTCCCCAGCTCTTTACCCACTTGCAGGGAGGAAGACACATGGATGCCAGAGGTTCAGAAAGCTCTCCTGGGGCATCTATTTACTTCGAGGTCTGTGGGAGACAGCTGACAATGTGTCCTTCATTCAACCTAAGCTCTCCTCAGCCCAGTGATTAGAACTCGATGACGAGGACCCTGCTGAACCAGAAATTCTGTGTGTGTGTGTTTTTATCAGTTTTATAAGAAACATGAATCATGTGAGACTGAAAGGTCTTCCTCATAGATCCGGTCTCAGCCTGGAACGATAATGATCGTAACACTAATCACAGTAAGCAGCCTCTGTTACCCACGATTGGGCTCTCACACCGGGGCTTCAAAACACTCAGGGGAAATGTGTACTATGAAAAAAAATCATGCATGGATTTAAAAATGTTTTATGCCAAAACAAGCTCTCTTTTAATTCCATTTGCCCATGCAGTTTTCAATTATTTTCTTTGTTTATTTGAGAGGGAGGGAGATAGAGGCACAGGAGGATACACACACACTTACACACACACACACACACATACAGAGAGAGAGAGAGAGAGAGAGAGAGAGAGAATCTCCCATCCATTTGCTAGCTCATTCCCCAAATGCCAGTAATGGCCAGGGCTAGACTGGGGCCAAAGCCAGGACCAGGAACTCAGTCATGGTCTCCCACATGGGTGGCAGTAGCTAAATTACTTGATCTTCCACCTGCTTCCTCCCAGGGTCTATGTGAGTAGGTCACTTAAATCAGGAGCTGGAGCCAGAGCCAGGCATTGAACTCAGGTACTTCCACGTGCAGTGTGAGTATTGTAAACAATAGGCTAAACACCTGGTCCCTCCATGAACTTTTTGAAGTATCTCATGTTATGTGTCAAGCACTGGGTTAGGCACTATACATGCATTGCCTCATTTTCTTCTTTTGAAAGTGATCTGAGTAAGAGGCACTATACCCATTTTCAAGATGGGGAAAATGATACTCAGAGAAGTGAGATGACTCATCCAAGATCATACATCTAGTCACTAGGAGATTTGGAGTTCAAACCCAGATTTGTCTGGTTCTAAAGTCATTCCTGTCCCATGATCTATTTCATTCTTCTGTGATCCATATCCACGCCTGCCTCCTTTGTAGCAGAAATCTGGGAACTGTGCCGTGGACCAAAGTCATTGCCAGGAGGTGCAGCTCAGAGCCAGGGAAGGCATGTGCCTCTGCCTCGGGCCGTGTGCACTGCTCCGTGCCCTCTCCTGCCAGCTGCGGCTGTGGTGGAGGCACTGGACGGGGCTGGCTCTGCCTCTGCTGGTGTTTCTGTCCATCACAATCACTGGCAGAGCAGACTGGGTCTCTGGGATGCTGGAGTGGCTGTGAGGTGGGGAGAAAGGCAGACAGGCACAAGCAGACAGGACACTCAGTGGCCTCCACTTTGTATGCCCTGCCAAGGTCATCCGTCTAGGAGGGAGGGAGGGAGAAAGAGAGAGAGAGAGACAGAGAGAGAGAGATCTTCCATCCATGTGTTCACTCCCTAAATGAACACGATGGCTGGGGCTGGGCCAGGCCAAAGCCAGGAGCCAGGGACTCCATCCAGATTTCCCCATATGAGTGCCAGGGGCCCAAGCACTGGGGCCGTCGTCACCCACTGCTCTCCTGGGCACACTAGCAGGGAGCTTTATCAGAAGCGCAGCGGCTGGGATTCAAATGGGCACTATGTCTGGGATGCTTGTGATCAAGCTGCTGCGGCACCGCATCAGCCCCAAGTGTAGGCTTTTAGTTAACCAGGGAGCCAGAGGGTTTATTTCTGATCAACAGTGGGCATAATAGTGCCACCTATCAAAGAGAGAATGGAATAAAACAATCTACATAGAGCTCTAAGCACAGTCTCTAGAGAATTTTATTTTCAATATTCATTATTTTTCAAATGTTTATTGATTTATTTGAAAGGCAGAGAGAGGAAGAGCTCCCCTCTGCTGGTTCATTCCTCAAATGTCCACTATACAAGGGCTGGACTGGATCAAAGGCAGAAGCCTGGAACTCAATCCAGGTCTCCCACATACACAGTGAGAACCCAATGACGTAAGCCTTCACCCCTAAACGTGGACATCATTAGAAAGCTGAGAGCAGGAGCTAGAGCTGGAAAATCAAACCCAGGTAGGACAAAGGCGTCCTAACTCCTATCTTAGCATTTAAGGCAAATGCCTTACCTTCCTTTCAATATTTTAAAACTTTATTCTGTAGTCATCATACAGCTCAAACCCTGCAAAGGGGCTTAAAAGAATTAGCAAGCCTCTTTGCTTTGAGTAAAACTAAACTGAGCTTGGTCTAGTGCTTTGTTCTAATTCTTTGGTTGCTGGTATTGCAATGAGCTTGCCACAGATGATATTTTACTGTAGACCCTATTAGATATAATTTTGTTAGATTGTTTTCCAAATGAGAAAGGAAACTGGTTCTTGCTTAATGAATGTGGTTTGCTGTGTAGAATAAATCTTCCAGATCTAGAGACATAGAGGGGATAAAATCATAATTCATGAGTCCATGGTACTGAAAAAGATTGGGAAATCCTGGCTTTAGACGATATATGAGTTATCTAGGAAGGATCTTCAAAAAGTTCATGGAAAATGCATGTTAGGTAAAAATTATGCATGCGTTTCAAAAAATTTTTGCACCAAAAGAAACATTCAATTCCATTTTCCACAAACCTTTTAAAGTCCCTTGTGTTTCTGCATAATAATTATCCCCCCCCCCAAATTTAGCAGCTTAAGGGAAACCACACACTTTTTAAATCTCACAGTTTCCAGGGCCAGGTGTCTGAGTGTGGCATAGCCACAGCCTAGGCTCCAGTGTCTCCCATGAGGCTGCAATCAGACTGTCAGCCGGTGCTGCAGCTTCATCTGAAGAGATCGGTTTTCCAAGCTCACTCAGGCAGAGTTCAGTTCTGCAAGGAATGTGGCACTGAAGGCTTTGGTTCCTAGCCTGCCCCGAAGCTGATTGCAATTTCTTGCCATCAGAGCCTCTGCAATATGGCAGCTTGCTTCATCAAAGGCAACCGGAAGTGCTGGCATTGTGATGCAGATAGTAAAGCGCCTGTGTG